ATTAACTTAGTACAATAGGCACTAAAATTGTTGTTCTATTATTAAATTTATGCAATAAAGAAACATTTCATTACCATAATTTGTAAAACGCGTCAAAAATTTATGGAGCAAACACGATTTGGCAACACTGCGGATCAAACTGGCTGCATCGTGGCTCCGATCCCAGACTCTTGTGCCTTCTACTAAAGCTACGTTTACACTTTGTAATTTAAAAATTATCGACTTACATTTAAATGTAAAGTTATAAATTTTGTCTTAAAAATGTATCAATTTAAAATTGTTAAAAATAAAAGTTATTGGTTTAAATTTGTAAAGAGTCATTTAAATGATAGTCGATAAAATTTTAATGCAAAAATTACCACATTAAAATTTAAAACTAACATTTAAATGTAATGTTGAAACTTTTGTATTGAAAATTTATCGACTATCATTTAAATGACTCTTTACAAATTCAAACCAATAATTTTGAAGAATAAAATATTAAAATTACATTTTTTAAAAATCAATATTTTTAAACTTAAACTTTTACAGTTGCATTTTATATTTAAAATATTTTTTGATTATCATAGGTTTTGAGTTTACAAAAATTTAACTTGGTAGAAAATGTGTTTTTATTTTAAATGGCTTGATACTATTTTTAAATACTAAAAAATTTAACTTTGCCAAATTAATCTCAATAATTTTATAGAATATTTATTTAAGTTTACAAAATGCCACCCAAATAAATTATACTTGGGAAATTATTTTTATTAAAAAATGATAGTTAGAAATTTTTGCAAAAATTGATAGAAAATAATATTGTTTAATACAGAAGTGAACTGTTAGTTAGTAAATTTTGTCTTTCAATACATGATATATCACTATAGTTGAAAAGATTTTAAATTTATAAATGTAAACCAATAAAATTTTAAATTAAAAAGTTATGTAATAAATGTTAAAACGGCGTGCCATAGTAATAGGCTGAAAATAAATGCTGATAAAACAAATTGTTTTCTGTTTAAAAAAGTTCAAGATGAATTGACCACTCCAGCTAGTGCAAAAATAAACCAAAATAGAATAAATTTTAAATCTGCGACTAAATTTCTTGGATTAGATGAACATCTAGATTGGTGTGTTCACACAGATTTTTTATGTAGCAAATTGAATGGGGTAGCATACTTGTTACGAGTTTTAAAACATTACCTTGATAAGTCAACACTAATGGTAGTGTATTTCTCAAATTTCCAATCCCTGCTAAGGTACGGGATTTTTTTTGGGGAAGAAGCAAAAATATCAAAAACATTTTTGTCACACAGAAACGTACAGTTATAATTATTAATAATAAAAAAGTGACATGTCCTGTAGAGGTTTGTTTAAATCAAGTAAAATATTGACAGTTACTGGGTTATATATATACGAAATACTGATTTTTATGTTTAAAAATAAGCACTTGTTACATGTATCCTAGTCATAGATTAACCATATATGAAAAAAGTTGTTTTTATTCATGTATTGTCTGTTATAATAAATTACCAACTCGTCTTAAGACTGTTCAAAATTTTAATAGTTTTAAATCAAATGTTTTTAATTATTTAGTTGAAATGGATTTTTAACATATTAGCTCTATACTTTTCTCCTGTGACAATATTTCCAATATTTTTGTAATTTACTTTAAATGTACAAATTATTTTGAAATAAATAAATATTATTATTATTATTATTAATATTGCACAAATTAAAATTCGTCTAGTAAAACACGACGTTCGTCTGCATACACGAGTTTATTGTGGTCCCAATAGGTGTTCTTGCGGCACCCCTATAGGGGCATATCAAATAATTACTTTAATAACAAACTCCATTGTTAATTTAGCGAATCTGGATCCCAATAAAGGGGGTGGAAACGGTTAATTATCGAGGCAATATCAATCTGCCCAATTCGCTGGCGTAATTTGGCCTCGGGGTCTGGCTGGCCCGTTCGCCTGGCAAAATACACACAGAGAGATTTCGCACGGCAAACACGAGATAATGGAATGTCATCTGGACGATTTCGGTGCCATCCTGGCGAAAGTAATTATCAGACGTTTCGCAATAAGTTTCGGCAATTCCATTCGTCGAGGGCTAATATCGTTAATTAGGGCCCCGATTGCTCGGGGTTTCGGGGCTAATTTTGATTGTTTCGGGAGTTAGCCGGGGATATTTGTTAAGTAAACACCTGGAGAATGATTGTACAAGATTAATTTTTGATGGGAATTAAAGGGTTTTAACTTGAAGTAGTTCATTTAAAATTTAATGAATTTAATGTATCTTTCAGTCTCTTGTAATTTTTTTGTATTTATTTGAAAGTACAGACTTTAAAGGGGCCACTAAAATAATTTTGGGCAAAATATTGCAAAACATAACAATAACAAAGAAAATTAATGAAACTTTCACTCTTTTGATTATTTCTTACTCCTTTAATTTTTCATTATTTTCCTTTCCTTCTTTAATTTAATTATTTTTTGTTTTCATTTTCCTTAATTTTTTAATTAATTTTTAATTTTTTAACTCTTTAAATTGTTTAATTCTTTAATTCGATTCTTTATTATTAATTATTTCAAACTTTCATATTTTTATCTTTCAATTTTTTAATTATTTCTATTTTAACTTTTACTCTTTTATTCTTTCAGTTCTTCACTCCATCATTCTTCTATTCTTTTGTTTTTTCCTTCTTTAATCTTTTAATATTTTTATTCCTTCATTATTTCAATCTTTTAAAATTTAACTCTTTCCAACTTGTATCTTTCTTATTTTACTCTTTCGCTCTTTTTTCATTATTTTATATTCCCTTTTTCTTTCCAGCTTTAATTTAATTATTTTATTATTTTAATCTATCATCTTTAACTTTTTTAATTTTTTGATTCTTTTACTTTTACGCTTTCATTATTTAATTTTTTCAATCTTTCACTCTTTATTTTTTTTATTCATTCATTCGGTCATTTTTTAATTTTCATTTTTTAATTTTTTTTATTTATTCACTCTTTCATTCCGTCGTCTTTCCTTCTTTAATATTTTATTATTTAATAGTTATTTCGTTTTTTAATTTAATTATTTAATTTGTTCATTGTTTCATTCTTTTACTTTTTCAATCGTTCTCTTTCAATTTTTATTCTTAAATTTATTCCTTCTTTAATTCAGTTATTCCATTTTTGAAATCTTTTATTATTTTAATCTTTTAATGTATTTCATTTTTTTTGTTTAATTCTTTCACTCTTTCAATATTTCATTCCTCTATTTTTCAGTCGTTCATTTCTTTATTCCATCATTTTTAATTTTTTTCTTTTTTTATTCTTTAATATTTTATTCCTTTATTCTTTCCTTATTTAAATCTTTTAATATTTCACTCTTTAAAACTTTCATTTTTATTTTTTACTCTTCATTTTTCATTATTTTATTTTTTCATTCCTTCAGTTCTTTATTCTCTTATTCCTTTATTATTTTGTTCTTCCTTCCTTTAATTCAATTCTTTCATTATTATATATTTTAATTTCACTCCTTTACCTTTCACTCTTTGTTTTTTTTATTCTTTCATTTTTTTACTTTTTCATTTGTTCATTCTTTTACTTTTTCAATTTATTTGTTTTACTCTTTCCTTTCATTTTTCAATCTTTCACTTTTTCATCTTTCGCTCTTTCAGTTTTTTTTCTTTATTATTTTTATTAATTATTATTATTATTTCATTCCGATATTTTTTTATTCTTTTTGTCCTTCATTCCGTCATTCTTTTGTTCGTTAATTCTTTTAATATTTCAATCTTTTCAACTTATCATTCACTCTTTAAATTTTTCATTCTTTCATTCCTTTAATCCTTTAACTCTGTCATTCTTCTTTAACTCAATTCTTTAATTTTTTCAATCTTTCATATATCATCTTTCATTCTTTAATTTTTTACTTTTATTCCTCCATTACTTCATTTCATCATTATTTTGTTCTTTCCTTCTTTAATTTTTTTATATTTTTAATATTTAATAATTCTTTTATTTTTTAATTCAATTCTATAATATTTTCATTGTATCATTCTTTCAAACTTTCAACCCTTTATTTTTTCAAACTTTTTTTTAAATTTTTATTTTTTCATTCTTTAATTCATTCAATTCCATTTTTTCATTCTTTAATTATTTCACTCTTTCAATATTTCATTCTTCTATTTTTTCAGCTGTTCATTTCTTTATTACATCATTGTTTAATTTTTTCTTTTTTTATTCTTTAATATTTTTATTTCATTAATTCGTTATTTCAGTCTTTTAATATTTCACTTTTTCTAACTTTTATTTTTCTTTTTTACTCTTTATTATCCATTATTTTATTCCTTTAGTCCTTTATTCTCTCATTTATTCTTTCCTTTTGTTATTTCTTCCTTTAATTTAATTCTTTCATTATTTTAAACTTTTATTATTTCACTACTTCACCTTTTATTATTTGATTCTTTTATTCTTTCATTCTTTAGTTTTTCATTTGTTCATTCTTTTACTCTTTCAATTTTTATTTGTTTTACTCTTTTATCTTTAACCCTTTCATTTTTTATTATTTTTAATCTTTCACTTTTCACCTTTCACTCGTTATTTTTTTTTACCTTTCTCTCTTTTAATCTTTTACCTTTCACTCTTTTATTATTTTTTCCTTCATTCCGTTATTTTTTTGTTCTTTAATTTTTTAATTTTTCGAATTTTCCACTCTATTACTTTTTCAATATTTCACTCTCACTTTTCATTCTTTCATTATTTCAGGTAATCATTCTTTCATCCCGTCAATATTTTATTCTTTCATTCTCTTGTTCTTTTCTGCTTTAATTATTTTAATCCCTAATTCTTCTTTAATTTTTTCACTGTTTCATTCTCTTAATCTTTCAATTTTTCATCCTTTTAGTTTTTCATTCCTTCATTCTTTTATTTTTGATAGAATTTTTATTTTGTATGCTATAAACAACTAATAAAACATAAGAAAACTTTTTAAAATTCAAAAAACACAAATTAAACAAAACTTACCATTTAAAGTGCTAGCTTGCTTAATTATCCTTCCAAAAAAGTCCTTAACAACCCCCTGCAATATAAAAAAAAAACAAAATAAATTATCGCTCAATACCACAATACATTATAACTACATAATACCCTAAAAATGATAAAACTATCTGAGCAACACAAAGGCAATTCACTCGATTTATCTTTGTAAAGTTTCCTGTCTTGCCGAGTCCATTAGGTCCATTATCCTTGCCGCAATTAAAAAGGATGCAGGATTCCATTCATATTGTAATTTAAAGGGCGGACTGGTAATTCCGTTGGCGGAAAGAATAACGTCGAGTGACGATTTATCATACATAGAGTTTTGCGGATTATCAATCTTAGTTTTTGGTTTTCGTTAACTTTTAATAGAAAACAGTTTTGAATCACAAATGAGTCTACGATTTTTTACGTTGAAAGTTGAATTAGAACCAAGCACTGGGAAATTCCCACTCAATTTGGTTTTTATGATAATAATGAAATATGGGTGATTCAGTCAATAGAGTAGGTATTTTAATATTTTTCGTAAATATTTTAGTATGTTACAAAAGATCTAGGTTTTTTTAACTTGTCCACCCAATTTTAATGTATTTTTTCAAAAGCACGTTTGTAGAAAAGCATAATAAATATTCAAAACATCAGTACCTTGGCGTGTCCACAACTCCTGAATCAAATATTTGAGTGATTTTATTTTAAAATATATTCAATTTAACTTAAATTTTTCAATTTCACTACAAAATATAAAACATTAAATAATGTATTTTTCATTTTTTATCATAGATTCGAATAATAGCAATTTTTAAAAATTGATAATCTTTGTACTCACTTTTACCCGTCAGTTCTGTGTCCAATGTTAAAATTCAAAATTCCTGCGAAATATTGTTGTTTTAACTCAAGTGTTGGAAAAAAATTACCTACAGAGCCCGCCCTTTGCACGACAGTTATCTTGAAAACAATGCAAGCGGCGAAGTTGTGGTGAATGCACGTATGTTCCAGTCAAAATTTCAGTACTGTGGTGAGTAGTTATTTTCTTACGTATATATATTTCATTGTAATTTATATAGGCTATATGTGATTTGTTGATAAGTAGCATCCACTAATAAAAAATATCAGTAAAATACTTAATTCCGAATTATAATCTCAAATTTGTATCCGTTTCGTCAGTTCCATGTTCGATGTTTCGGTAATCTTTTTTTCGCAAACTTCAATTTAAATTCTGCTTGCGCAGAACTTGTTTATTTAATGTCATTATAAACTCATATAAATTTGGTGTGGGTCCCATATCTAATAATTGAGATATCGGTATACCCAAAATCCACCAGCCGCCACTGATGTGTGGTATTATTTGATTTTAAGATATTTAATGAATAATATGCTCAAAGTTGCAATAAATCTTATATTTTCCAATAAATTATGTATTTAATTAGTACCCAGGTATACTCGTCACTTCCCTTGCATTCAAATTTAGAAAACACAGTTATTTCAGAAACTGTTTGAAAAAGTGACTGGCCCGGTCTGGAACACTCTATTTATTATATTATCTATGTTCTTATAACAAAATACTGCTTAATTTTGTAGAATCACCCAAATCACGGTGCTGTTCTGAGAGGTGATTTTTGGACTTTCTGTGAAACCTAATTTTTTTATATTCTTGTTAATTAGGTCATAACTAAAATTTTAAGAGCAAAATGAAAATAATTTGACGGTTAATTTTGTTTTAATTGGATGTTTATTAAAAATATGTATGCAAACTTTCAATTCTCCAATTAAAACTTGCGATTTTATTTAAATATTATCATAACTTTTTAAATCAGATTAAAGATTAGTTAATTTCCTAAAAAAAGGTCTATACATTTTTTATATCTTTTACTGTTTTGTTGTAATACACGTTTAAAGTTTTAATTTAAGGTTAAATGTATAGTATACATTTATTAAACAATAATTCTAAGGGTGCCACATTTTATTTAGGGACGATTTATTCATTTTTGATTTATTTGACGAATAATTTCTTTGGATACTAGATATTGCCAAGACATGAAAGTTATCGGCCCGATAAACTTTCCTAAAGATGAATAAACCGGTCCTTAGTTAAATTTCATGAATTTCTTCGTAACTTTTACTACAATTTTTCATTTTTGTTTATAAAAAACACTTTAAAAAACTAAACAAAAATTATAGAATAGGTATACTGAAAATGACAATTCATACGTCAAATAAATTTTTAATAGATCTAAGTTTCATGGCAACCTTTAAGGATATATTAATTAAGGGAACATAAATGTATACGTCAAAGGTTAGATTAAATGTTTAAACGTTTATTGCAACAAAACAGTAAAATAAATAAAAAAAAATTGTAAAAATCTTTATTTTAGTTATGCAAATATTAAATCACTAGTTTTAATTGGATAATTGAAAGAGTGCATAATATTTTTAATAAACAGCCAATTAAAACAATTCAAACCGTCAAATTTTTTTTATTTTGCTCTTAAAATTTTAGTTATGACCTAATTAACAAGAATATAAAAAAAATTAGGTTTCACAGGAAGTCCAAAAATCACCTCTCACAACAGCACCGTGAAATGTTTATTTAAAAACAAGATTGAAAAAGTTTATTTATGTTTGGATGTAAATATTTGCCCCTTATCGAGTGCTGCTGTTTGACGTATGTTCCGGCACACTCCCCATCTAATGAACCGCTATTATGGATTCTGGTGGAGCGCAAAACTCGGTTGTCATTGTGTTTGTATTTAATTGCTGGCCGGCTGCCTAACGCCGCCCCAGGGGGGCCCTATAAATTTACTTCTCATTAGGCACCGACACCAACAATTCACAATTTACAGTTTGGATATTACTTAATTGCTTTTTGGATAATTCCCTTTTTAAAATACACGAGTTCAAGCTTTATAAATAATAATAATAAAATTTACCGTTTTCGAGATATTAAGAAAATTTAAAATATAGGTAGTACGTAAATTGTTTTAAAAATGTATTCTAAAAATACAAATATTTGTGTTGATTTATACTTTGTATTGATATACGAGGTGTGTTCAGAAAAGAACAGGAATTGTTAAATTTCGCGGGTTCGGAGGGTCCGGTTGTCATAAAATTTTCTTCATTATGTTGGTATACATGCCCCCGAAGTATGATACAAACTTTAGCTGTTTTCATTGTTTACTTTGTCTGTGGCAGCCGCTAAGGTTAGACGTGTTTGATGAGCTCGGCGATTTTTCGTTCGTTAAAAGAAATGAATCAAAGAATCTGTATCCAATTTTGCTTAAAAAATTAAATAAATTCTGTGAAATGTTAACAAAGGCCTATAGTGAGTCTGCTATAAGTAAAACAAGAGTTAACAAGTGGTATAAGAGTTTCCAAGCCGCGAAGACGTTGAAAATGACGAACGCCCCGAACGCACAAGCACATTAACAACCGATAAAAACATGGAAAAAGTGGAAGAAATGGTTAAAAACCATCAGAGAAGTCGCTAATGATTTTGGTATAAGTCGATTGGCTCATCCCATGAAATTTTTTCGAATGTTTTGGGTATGAAACGCGTGGCAGCAAAATTTGTTCTAAATTAAATTTTGAACAAAATTTTTGGCCAAAAACAATACTGTAATGATGCCCCAGCCTCCACATTCGCCAGACATGTCTCTGTCTGACTTTTTCATATTCCCAAAAATAAAGAGAACCTTAAAGGGCCGTCGTTTTGCAAGCATAGATGACATTAAAAGCGCATCGCTGAAAGAACTAAAGGCTATCCCAAAGATCGAGTTTTAGAAGTGTTTCGAGTATTGGAAGAAGAGATGGCACATGTGCATAATATCCAATGGGGACTATTTTGAAGGCGACAACATTAATGTAGACGAATAAATAAATATTTGTTTCAAAAAACGAAAATTCCCGATATTTTCTGCACACACGTCGTACACAGTTAAATTTTTTTGTAAAATTACAATTGTTTTGCAAAACAAAGGATGAGTAAAATTACAAATTATTGTATACCAATAAAAAATTATAATACAATTTGAGTAATCTTTCAAGACATGGGAAATCTACTAAGATAAGTTTCATTTTACAATCTATATGTATAAATCCTACACGCATTGTAATTTTACTAAACAGTTTGACAGTTTCTAATAAAAAGCATCTCAGATTTAGAAACGTTGTTTGTAATTTGATTTGCTATAATGTTATGTAAAATGCATAGCTTACTACTTATACCGATTGCGGAAATCACGTGATGTTCTTACATCTCGCCTCGGTTGACTTAGGTGGAAAGTATATAAGCTCAGGTGTCTTTCATTTTTGGTGTGTTCCAATACACCAAATTGCCCTATATTGATAAAACCCAAAAATAGGTCTATCTGTAATTTGTTGTATAAAATAACAATATTTGTATTGTAATATTGCGAAACAAACTTTCATAATTCAGTTCAGTAAAATTGTAATATATATTTTGTAATTTTCTTAAACTGAGTTGAAATGAATTGTATAGTATAATTACAATACCCCATTTTAAAATTGCCAAACATATTTAGTATTTTTTTAGCAAAATTACAATACCTGTATAGTAATGTTACTGAACAAATTTTTAATAAATGGTTAGTGAATTTCAACAAACATTTCATGTTTTTTTCAAACTTTTTTTATAATCCAATCAAGGATAGTTTTGGCCTTTCCGCAAAGAAAACAAATTGAATTAGGCAGTATTGGCCAAATTTCCAAAACGAATATTTTAAGAAAAAAACCAAATTAAAGTTTTATAAAAACCCAACAAAAACATTAAATAAACCAACAAGAAACAAAAAAAAAGGCGAACATTGTGTACAAACCCGAGACAAATTTTTCAATAAAGCTTTTCAGATTACGGTCATTTATACTGATTTCTCTATAACGGGACGGGTAATTTATAAAATACTAACGGTAAACGAAAATTTCCCAGATAATTGCATAAGTTTTTATTCTTCCAAATCCGAAGGATTTGCGATGTGAAAAATGCGCGAAGGGTTGGGACGCACAGTGGCAAGACCAAAAAATCAATAG